CAGACAAACACTCCTTCACTTCCATCTTCTTGTGTGAACCTTTCTTGTCATAGACAGTGAGAGAGATAGCTACTGCAGAATAGATTTGCTGTACATACTGTACTTTCTGCTTTATTAAATAAATGAGGTAACAATGATGCCAACCTAACAAATGTCAGTCATCTTTCAGTATTATAGAAGTGTTAGCAAGCCACATGATCTGAATTAACAATTAGCAATGTGGTATTCTTGTGAAGTATGAATGAATTTTTGATTCTTTGACAAATTGGACATACAGTACTTGCTATTAGAACAAGGTACAACTGATACATACATAACAGGAGTTGTACAGTCGTGTTGACAATTCTATATATTTTGGCCAAAACACAGCCATAGTAAAAGGCCAGACTATGTAAATTAATGTTTTAATTCCTGAATTGAATAATCTGCAGCAAAAGGGAAAAAAGGGAAAAAAGCAAATAAGGTTCAGTTTTTATCAATGTTCTGAGGTATCCACAATCTCATGAAACTTTTTATTATGAGTTTTGGATGGCAGTTTCTAGAAACAAATTATATTTTCAAAGATGTGCGAAATAGTGTTGATGATGATCTTTAGTTACTCTGCCATTCTCTAGGAGGCAGAATCTAGGAAGCATCATCTTACCAGAAAAATCTAAAGTTATCTTCCTACCTAACAATTTTCTCCTTCAGATGCAAGAAGACAAGTAATCAATTATTGTGGACTCCGTACTAATTATTACAAAAAAGGCAGTTCATAAAAGAAAATATAGTAAAAACTTTGGAGGAATCACTGATCTTAAGACAGTGTTGCTGAACCTTTTCAGCACCGAATGCTGAAATGGGGGCGGCGTGCATGCATGCTGGGAACCAGAAGAACAGCCATCTGGTGCGCATGCGCGGAAGATGATCTTCCGGTTTCCGGCATGTGCATGTGTACCAGCCACCTGGTCTTCCAGTTTCTTGCGTGCATGCATGCATGAAGACCAGCTGGCCAGTGCACAGGTGGCATGCGGAGCCATATCTAGGGGCACGCGAGGCGTTGCCCTATGTCAGCTCCAGCACGCAAGCGCGCTGGCCAGCTGATTTTCAGGAAAAGCTCTGGAGTCTGGGGAGGGTGAAAAACGGGCCAACTGGGCCCACTGGAAGTCAGGAAATGGGCTGTTTCCGGCCTCCGGAGGGCCTCTGGGCAGGCGGGGGAGACTTTTTTTGCCCTCCCCAGGCTCCAAGAAAGCCTCTAGAGCAGTGGTTCTCAACCTCTCTCCCTCCCTCCATTTCTCTTTTTCCCTATCTCCCTCCCGCCCCCTCATTTCTCTACTTCCCTCCGCATCTTTCTCCCTCTCTCCCTCCCTCCTATCTCTCCCTCCCTCTCCCCATCTGTTTCTTTCTCCCTCCCCTTCTCTCTCTCTCTGTGCTGAGGAATAGTCGCCACCCAGGTGGTGGCCTTCCTTCAGGTGACCTTCTCACAATCTTCTGGCCTTGCTGTGTCATCCCTCCCCCTCACACGCGAGAGGGAGGAGGGGGGTCGCCAGAGCCTTAGTGCAAGAGCGAAGCAGCCCTGTACCCACCTTTGCACCACATTCGCCCATTAGGCAGCCTTCGCTTCCTTTCATTTCAGGTTTGAGTTTGTGCCCTCCGCACTTGGCCAAAGACATGGAGGACACAGCAAGGTCATGGCTGGAGCCTCAGTGCAGGAGAGAAGCCACATCCTTTTGTGCCCTGTTAAGACCCTCCTTAAATGAGCAGCCAGCTCATTTGGTGCTTGCTTGTGGGTGGTCTCCCCATGTGTGCGCACCCTCCAAGCCCCACCACAGCTGGCCAGGGGGTTGCGAGAGGAGGCGGAGGAGGGGGTCACCTGAAAGGAACTCTCGGCCGGGAAACAGGGGACAGATGGGGAGCAGCAGGCTGTAGTAGAGGCAGGTGCCCGAGAGCAAGAGCAGCACGCCCAGCAGAAGTGCCTGGCATCGCCACAGCCTCCGCCCGCCATGGCTCCATTGCCGCCGCCGGCCACAACTCTCCAGCTGGCATCAGCGCGGGGTCAGGGCAAGAGTGGAAGAGCCACACTCAAGTCACTTAGGTGACCACTGTGAAAGGGTCATTCGACCCCCAAAGGGGTCACGACCCACAGGTTGAGACCCGCTGCTCTTGAGCCTGGGGAGGGCAAAAAACAGGCCCACCGGAAGTCGGGAAATGTGCTGCTTTCGCCCTCCCCCAGTTCCAAGAAAGCCATGTGCACATGCGCAGGGGGCAGCAGAGGGGTCGTACGCATATGCGCAAGTGGACACAATGTGGGACGTAAATAATTACAGGTGTGGGTTTAATTACAGATGTGGGCATGCATGCTTTTGGCACTCGAGGGAAAAACGGTTCGCCATCACTGTTCTATGCTTTGCTTTCTGCTTTGTCTGCACAAGCCTGCAGAAGAATGCTGGTGCCCAGGGTTACAGCAAAGAAGGGAGTGGCAGTCAATAGGCTGGAGCCTTGGTGATCTGGAAGGGCTGGAACCGAGGTCTCTTTGGTGTAAAAACCAGGGGTCAAATCCAGCAGGTTCTGACGAACCGGTAGAGGAAGTTTTGAGTAATTTGGAGAACTGGTAAGCAGAAATTTTGAGTAGTTAGGAGAACTGGCAAATATCACCTCTGGCTGGTCCAGAGTGAAGACTTTGCAGTATCCTTCCTCCGCCACGCCCACCAAGCCACATCCATCAAGCTACACTACAGCCACCAAGACACGTCCACAGAATTGGTACTAAAAAAAATTGGATTTCACCACTGGTAGAAACCCAGGATCGGGCCTAAAGAAGAGTTTTTGAGTCTGGAAGTTTGCAAGAGAAATCTTATAAACACTGGATTTCTTCAAGACAAGAAAAACTGAACTATCATTAAAAATAGCTTACTAGGTTGTCAGAGACTTCTATTGCAAATTGTAAGGATACCAAAATTATAACCCCCATGCAATGATGCCATTGTACCCATCTTACTTATATGGAGCGGCATGGTACATTAGCACAACATTTGCACGGTAATGCTGTTATATTCGTTTTGATCATTTCCCTTTTGCCTTCAATTGCAATTAATAGGTAATTCTTAGAGAAATTGCTCAGCCACTTCCTGAAAGCCAACAAGAAGTAAAAGTTAGAATATTGAGCTAAAAACAAGGAGACCTGAGTTCCAGGCCACTTCAGCCACAGAAGTTCCTTGGGAGATTTTGGGTCATCCCTTCCTTCTTGATCCAATCTATTTCAAGTGTGTGTCTGTGTGTGTAGGACAAAAAGGAGGACTGTGTGTCAGACTGTTCAGCAGGATAAATAAAACAAGTCATTTTTTTAAAAAAGGAAGTTGTGTTGCCTACACTCATATATTCAATTGTCGTGATGCCAAAACACATGTTGGAAGAAATATTCATCTGGTTCAATTCAAGCTGGGAGAAAGACACTGGAAACATGTAGACTTATTGGAAAGATGATTTAATGATGAACAGAACCACCTGTGTTTATAGTTCTGTGAAGCTGACAAAAATGGAGTTAAGAGAGTGGGGTTTTTATACCTTCTTTAGGCTTTGTATTTGAGCTTCCTGTTCCTGTGCAAGAATATGTCCTTTAATATCCTGTTGACTGTTGTCAGATTCCGATGGGGGTCATGTAGGGGTCATAGCTGGCTCTATAGGCAAAAGAAGAAATGCAAATCCTAGGTGATTGTCTGAGCTAATTTTGTCATCCTTTTGTTTGTTGCTTATCTGAGTTTCTGTCTTGACCGTCTTTCTGAATTCCCAAATCTGCTTTTCTAAAAGCTGGCCTCCTCAGTTTCTGCTTGAGGCAGGGAAACAGCGGCAGGATTCTGTCTCCCTTAAGATCTTTTTATTTCTCCTTTAGGGGAAATATTTTTATCCTGCCTTTTTTTTTAAATATTTCCCAAAATATTTCTTTCTTTTAGGAGGGAGGGCCCCCTACACACACATGGCTGGGTGTGCCAGGGTTAGCTTTCGTTTCTGCCACTCCAGAATATATTACCTAACTACTTGCTTTTACATTTATTATCTAAAGTTTTAAAAACCATACAAATATATGCAGATCCATTCTTACTTGTCAGGTTTATATGCCATTTCATATAATAAATGTGACACTATCCCATGTACGCTTTAATCCACTAACACCTAGAACAGTGTTTCTCAATGCCCAAAACTGCCGCCTCCACCTCGGAGAGTAGAAATCCATTGAAAGTTGAGAGTGATTGCTGAATCCAATAAAAACGATGAGAAATTTGTCAATTAGTCAAGAGAGAATTGAGAGACATCCTGTTAGGCTGGACTGGGGAAAAAAATTGACTCGGTTCAGTCAGAGGAGGCGTGGTCAAAATTTACATAGTCTCTAGGCTAATGGACAAAGTTAACCCATGATTGGATTCCCTGAGCAGCACACAGGAGAATGGGACTTTTCTCCTTTGGTTAGATCAGGGGTCAGCAACCTGTGGCTCTGGAGCTGCATGTGGCTCTTTCATCCCTCTGCTGCAGCTCCGTTGCTGGTCGGCTCCACAATTAATAGGGCTTTCAGTTAGGACAGGTAAAAGGACACTGGGAGGAGACTCTATGGTGGGGAAACCTGACATCTGGTCAGCTCCAAAATTGAACAGGGGGAGGGGAGGCTTCTGGTTAGGACTTTGTGGCTCTTTGACTGTTTAAGGTTGCTGACCACTGGGATGGATGGATGGATAGATAGGTGATAGACAGACAGACAGACAGACAGATAGAATTCTTTATTGGCCAAGTGTGATTGGACACACAAGGAATTTGTCTTTGATGCATGTACTCTCAGTGTACATATAAAGACAAGATACATTCGTCAAAAATCCCAAGGTACAACAGTTAATGATAGTCACCGAGTGCAAATAAGCAATCAGGAAACGATTAATATAAATCGTAAGGATACAAGCAACAAAGTTACAGTCCTGCAGTCCTAAGTGGGAGGAGATGGCTGATAGGAACCAGGAGAAGATTAATAGTAATAGCAATGCAGCCTTAGTAAATAGTCTGAGTGGTGAGGGAATTATTTGTTTAGCAGAGTGACGGCGTTCCACGCAATTCTCCCCCTCAAGTTATCAAAGGCACCCAGGCACCTGTGGGGAGTAGGGCCAAAGGCGGCTTCGGGGCCGGATTCCGCCTTAGCGATGCTTTCCCGCTTTTCAAAGTGGCCCCAAAAGGCCCCGATGCGCCCGGGCTTTGCCAGCGCGCATCCGACTCCGCCTTTCCTTTGGCGGCCAAGGGATTTTAACCCGCTGCGACTCCCGCGGAGGCGCCCGTACGAGTCCCAACGGTTGCGCCCCGGAAGAGGCGTCCGAGGGATCTGCCCCTCGGCTCGGGCGGCGGCGTAAGGCAGCGGGGGAGCTCTGGACCGAGAGCGCAGCCTCCGAGAAGCCGAGGGCGACGGCCGCACCGAGCCTAGCCAAGAGCGCGCACCAGCCCGGAGACGCCAGGCACGCTCGGCAGCCGCTACCGTCGCCCGCCTTCCTTTCAGTTTCCCGGGAAGGCCGCCATGGCCGCGCCCGCCGCCTCGCTGGAAGACGGTCTGGAGGCCCGCCGCCCAGGCTCCACACGTAAGCGCCTTTCTGGAGTGCCTCTTCGGCGCGCCCTTGGGCCCGGAGGCCGGGAAACTCTTCCGCTGCCCGCCTCTGCGGAGGAGCCTCGACACCCCGCCTTCCACCCACGCCGAGCATTGGAGGCGTCTCTTCCCTGCAGGAAACGGGGCGGCTAGGCCCCTGCAAGGCCAACCCCCCAATGCCTCTGGAGCCTTTCCCCAGGTGCCTGCCCGGCGGTCAGCTGGTCTCATCTTCGCCATCCCGCGACGTTTTTTTATTTTATTATTATTATTTCAAAAAAGTTTTTTTAATTTCTCATACATGCATTAACAAATATACAATTATTTATATAACTATAAATATAATTTATAAATATATAAATTATTTATATTATACAATTAATAATATGTGTTATCTTTTGACATTTACAGCAATTCGTTTCTCCTCCTAAAATTAAAAATACAATCGAGATTGCTTTCCTGCCATCCCATACATCCATCTTGTTTTACAACCACCCTCCCTTTCTTTTTCTCTTTTTCCCTTTCTTCTTTCCTTCTCTTCTCTCCTCTTCTTTCCTTTCCCTTTCCTCCTCTCTCCGTTCCCTCCTTCCGTTGTTGTATTTATATATTTCCTCTTCAATCTGGTGTATTTTTATCCCGCGACCTTCCTTGATTTTTTTTTTTATTATTTCCAAAAAGTTTTTTATTTTTTTTTCTTATGCATCTTCACAACTATACAATCTCATAGCTGTTATTAATAATATGTGTTATCTTTTGACATGGATAACAATTCACTTCTCCTCCTAAAAATAAAAATGTAATCGAGATTGCTTTCCTGCCATCCCATCCATTCATCTTGTTTTACAACCACCCTACTTTGTCTTCCCTCTCCTTTTCTCCTCCCCTCCCTTCTTCTCTAATTCTTTCCTCCTCTCCTCTCCCTTTTTTTCTTCTCTTACTTCCCCGCCCTTTCTTCCTCTCCTTTTCCCTTTCTTCTTTCTCTCTCTTCTCCTCTCCTCTTCCTACCTTTCCCTTTACTACTCTCTCCGTTGTTGTATTTACATATTTCTTCTTCAGTCTGGTGTATTTTCGAACCATCCCGTTGATTTTGTGCCTCTCCAGGCCACCCTTTTTGGCTTCCTAGGCTGTGGTCCCCTCCCCCCTCCAACAACACCCCAATGGAAATGGTGCAAATTCTAAGGTGCTTGCTGTCTTGTGTTGTGGCCAGTTCACAGATGGGAACTGTTTCCATCTAGTGCAGAGGTCTTCAAACTTGGCAACTTTAAAACTTGTGGACTTCAACTCCCAGAATTCTCCAGCCAGCTATACTATAATAGGGCATCGCATGCTAAAAACATCTAGACACAGGGACAATTTTATCTCGTGCTATCACTCTGCTGAATACCTAATCCTCACAGTATTGTTCTATGTCTTAAGTATGTTGCATGGCTTAGTATTATTATCCTTTTCATCCTCTCTACCACCAGCTCTGATTTGTATTAGGATTATTCTTCTGTTGTTTTGCATTCATGTTGAAAACCTCTGCACCAGAGAAAATTCCTTGTGTGTCTAAACACACTTGGCCAAATAAAGAATTCTGTTCTGTTCTGTTCTACTCTACTCTGTCCCTCTCCTTCTCTCTATCCCTATCCTCTGCAGATTAGCCCTGGTTCCAGGAGAGGAAGAACAGCTAGTGTGAGCTAGTGGTTGAATATGGATAGGGCCAGCGAAACCCCATAGCTTTGCTTATCATGTCCTGCACATCTAAATCAGGTCACTTGATAGGCAAGATGAGCCAAGATTATAAATGCAAAAGGGGGGTTGACAGTGGATATAACAAATGGTTTGATGGTGTACCTTTCAGTTGGTTCAGGGATGGGTAAGACGTGCATCATCTAAAATTCATAGCAATTTAGTAAAGCAAGTTGCTCATGAGCTAAGATTCCAAGGATGTCTTCAATGTATGCCCTTCTTTATAGACCATTCTCCAGTGGCCTTTGATGCCAAAAAGCTCTTGGAGGCTGGCATGAGGAATGATATGAGCCAGCATATGACCCATCTTATATCTGTCCTTGAATTTTTGTTCTCCAGATCCTTTTGCTGGTTGGCAGGTTTCCCCTTCCCAGGCCCTGATTACTGGGCAGCAGGAGTTTTAAAGCATCCATCTGTGTTCAAAGAACTTTGTCGTCTTCTGTTTGAGTTGGGAATCTCGTTATGCAGCACTAGTGCAAAGTCACTGAACACCATCAATACCAAGAGATTTGCTGATAGATTTTAAGCACTTAAGTCAGCACTTACACACTTTTTTGTAGTTATCCAAATGACTATAAGCATGAGAAGTCTCCTCTGAGATCATCTTCAGTGGAATTGAAGATGGAGCTTCAAACTTTTCTTCTGTAGCTCTTTTGAGAGGCCAGCTGGATTACTGGATATTCTTAGCATTGTTCAGATTTATTTATCAAATTTATATAGTCACCCATCTCACTAATGTGATTTTGAGTCGTGTGTGTGTGTGTGTGTGTGTGTGTGTGTATTTGTTCCAGCATAACTCTGGAACGCCTCGAGCAATTTCAACCAAACTTGGTACATAGATGACTTACTCTCTGGAGAGAAATACTGTGGGAGTAAGACACCCCTAACACTCCTCGTGGTGTGTGTTCTGTTAAGATACATCCTGTTGTGCTGTACTGCCATACTGGCTTCTAGTAATATGTAATATTACTAGAATGTAATATAATATTCATAATGGCACAGTGGGATTGCCATTGTAACGGCTTCACAGTATTCCACAAGGGGCTCTCTCTGGTAAGGGGGGAAATCCAACATTATAAATTATGTTTGACCTGGACATTTACCCCCTATAAATAAATTCCCCGGGCAATGCCGGCTTATTGGCTGATATACAATAAAACAATCAAATCCTATCCATTAAGCAGTTAACATTAAATATAAATAAGGTCCCAGGAGGATGCACCAAAATCTCATACAAATACGATCATTTAGGATTATGGGGTTATCATGAGATCCCTAAGCCGGCTGAAATAAACCATGTTTTAAAAGAGATTTTGAAAAGGACCAAAAGGTTGCAACTAACCATGGTTAGTTCACAGTTTGCAACTATCCCCAAAAACAGGAATCTCATTGCATAAAATAGAAGTCTTTAGCTAGCAGGGCCTGTAATATTGCCTCTCTTGATGGACTGTTGAAAAAATGGTCAATAAAATGAATCAGATTATGCTCCCAGTAAAAATGCCACATCTTGTGAGACAAGATGGCATGCTGGATCATAATTAGATACAAATGGATTAGAGGCTCTTGAGTCATTTGTATTGCTTGTCTCTTCAGGAAGTTTATTTATTTAGTGTATGGCTCTTCAGGAAGTGACTACGGTTTTTTATATGTTTATCCCAATATTTATATTCTTTAGATTATTCTCAGCCTTAAATGGGCCACTGAGATTTCATCCTTCCAGTGATTTCCAAAATTAATAACCACTTAATAAAACATTAAGTTGGTTTGTACTGCTAAAATATATAATGTTTTCTTCTATACTTCTGAATAGAAGAACCTGTTGTGGAAACTGCAGAAGAAGCCACAGAGCCAGCAGAAGCTGATATTAATGAACTTTGTACGGAAATGTTCAATAAAATGGCAATCTACCTAACGGGTGAACTGACTGGTGAGTTAACATTAAATTTAAATTTAACATATTGTGTGATTCTTTGCAAATTTTCCTGAAATCCTTAATAGGTGTAAAAAAGGACTGAGAAAATTTCTTTTTTTAAAAAAAGAGGAAATTTCAAATGGAATCAGAACATGACCGATCAATTACGTGGTGAACCAACCCACTTTTTCCTCACAGCATCCCAAAAAAGAGTGATGTCTGCTAATAGTTTAGCCACACTCACTTTTGTCAGGCTTGTAATTGTGGCCCAGTCTAGACAGGAAACTGTTCATTTGTCAACTTAATCCTTTCCTCTCTTAAGAAAAACTTTCTTCTGAGTGTTTCTGATGATTTTAGGATTCATATTTCATAATCAGCTATGAGAAAGTTATTGACATATTATGAATATTGTTGAAACTAAAACTGTGGTTACATTTTATAAAAGGAAAGTTTCACTTGCTTGGTTTGGTTTTTGTTTATTTGTCCCCCCCCCCCCCGGCTTGGTTGTGAGCCGCCCTGAGTCCCCTCCGGGGAATAGGGCGGAATAGAAATATAATAAACTCAACTCAACTCAACTCAACTGATATGTGAAATCAACCACTGTGATTTGAGTTTAGCATTTTGTGAAGCCAGCCATTTGTTTCTTCTATATATATAAAAATGGCTCTGTGTGTGTGTGCGTATGTTCCAGTATAATTCTGACTTATTCTCTGGAAACAAATATTGTGAGGGTAAGACACCCCTATAACCCCCCAGGGGTGTGTGTTCTGTTAAGATACAGTCTGTTGTACCTTAAAATGGCTTCTAGTGTACTGCCATAAAATGGCTTCTACTGTACAGTGCAGTGGAGTTGCCTTGGTAACAGCTTTACAAGGGTGCTCTCTCTGGTAAGGGGGAAAATCCAACATTAGAAATTACGTTTGGTCTGGACATTTCCCCCCTATAAATAAATACCCGGGCAACACCGGGTTATCAGCTAGTATTCAATAAAGACACCTAGAGAAGCTCCATTGCGAGATAGACAGCAAATGAATTTAACGAATAAATGCTGGTAATTAATAAATCATAGTTAAAACTAGCTCTGGCATAATGCAGTATGTGAACCCACGTCCTCCTCTTCTATTTTTTAGCAACTAGTGAAGATTACAAACTCCTGGAAAACATGAACAAACTAACTAGTTTGAAGTATCTGGAAATGAAAGACATTGCTATAAACATAAGTCGGAATTTGAAAGACTTAAATCAGAAATGTAAGTAGAAACAAATTTTAATTGCGTTCAAACATAGGGTGTTTTCATGCTTACTTGCATTTTGGAGGTATGTTAAAATATATCCAAAAAAGAATTGAATATGAAAAATATGCAAGAAACAAAAAGTACTTCTTTAGCCAGCCTTTCCCACATGGATGTGTTAATCTACAACCAGGCAATTGATCGATTTCTAAATACAACATGCCCAAAGAAAGCCTGAGGAAGGCTCCAGCAAATTCTACAGCATAAGAGGCAACACATATTTTAAAATAAAATAATGGAGAACATTGATCTGTTTCTTAAGATCCAATATTCATATTGATGTGTATTACTCAATAGAAAAAGAGACATAGCTTTGCATGCATGCAGCTTTTTTAACTTCTAGTGCCCAGAATAACATGGCAGGCCACGGTGAGATCCAGCGAACCACTGTTCATTAAGACTGGGCAGTGGTTTGATCCAGAACAGGGGTGTCAAACCTGATTTCATTGAGTTCCGCATTCGGTTGTGTTTGATCTCGGAAGGGCCAGGGGACGTGGGTAGGGTGGGTGTGGCTAGCTCGCTATCACTAAGACTCCGTTTTTGGCCGCAACGGCCTCTTGTAGCCCACTGCCAGCGAAAATGGAGCTGTTTTTGCTAGCAGAGGCACCGCGGGGCAGTCCATTGTTTCCAGGGCAGCCCTGTGGGCCAGATTTAAGCACCCCATGGGCCGGAATCAGCCTGTGGGCCTTGAGTTTGACACCTCTGCAGTAGAAGGCATCTTCCTGACAAGTTGCAGGGATTTTTTTAATCCTCAGTAAATTCTTACTTTTTTCTCCCCTTTCCATTTTCCCCAAGATGCTGCACTTCAGCCATACCTGGAACAAATCAATCAGATTGAAGAACAAGTTGCAGCTTTGGAACAGGCTGCCTACAAGCTGGATGCATATTCCAAGAAACTTGGTAGCTATTCAAAGAAACTCTAATTAATACTAGAACAGTGGTGTTAAAGTTTTGGTTTTATCCTTTTCCCAAATAAATTTTTATAAATACCATATATGACAAAAATGCTTATTCCTATAATCCAGGGATATCAAATTTCGATTTCCCTGAGGGACACGTCTGGGTTGTCTTTGACTTCGGAGGACTGGGGGTGGCCGTGGCCAGTGTGGCCGTGGCCAACTCGACGTCACTCATCAAGGCTCCGATTTTGGTTGTGATGGCCTCCAACCCTCTGCCAGCGAAAGCAGAGCTTGGGGAGGATACACATGGCCCACCTGGCCTCCATTTTTGGTGGCAGAGGGCTGCAGGAGGCTGTTGCGGATGAAAACTGAGCCCGGGGGGGGGGCACATACGGCCTCCCCGACCTCCATTTTTATTGGCAGAGGGCTGGAGGTTGTCGTGGCCGAACACTGAGCCCAGGTAGATCATGCATGGTTCTTCTGATCTGTTTTCTCTGGCAGAAGCACTGCAGGTCGCTCCTTCACTGTTTCCAGGGCAGGCCCACGGGCCAGATCTAAGCATCCCCAGGTCTTGAGTTTGACACCCTTGCTGTAATCAAAACATTGTATTTATAAGGGCAAAACTTTTTGAACTTCTAATGAGATAACTTAAAGAATGTGCCTAAAATCTAGGGCCCAAGATGCCCAGGGAAGTAAAATTTGGCAAATTTTCATGAAAAATTTTATGACATAAAATTAACCATAAGGGATATATGGTAATACAAAGTGTCATACATAATTTTCTGTAATAATGTTTGACTGTGTTACACAGTTCTACATGGGCTATTTTCAAGGCAGATACATCTCTGAATATATCTCTGAATTTTTAAGACCTTTTCAAGTACATTAAAAGCTCTACAGTTATGGAAGCATTGAGGAATCTGGTAAGGAAATATATTTCTAGTTTATCTATTTAGTACTAGTAAGTTTTATCTTACGATGCCAACATCCACACCTCTCAAACTGCAGAGAATGAGACTTGGCAATGCCTGATCTAAGAAAAACTGGATATTTGATTCAGCATTCCATAAACCTATCCATGGAGAATAACTGCAGTTTAGCATATGTTCTTG